GGGGGTGTGTGTGGGCACAGATGTGTGTTTGTGGATGGGTGTGTAACATGTGTGCATAGGGGCGTGTGTACAGGGGTGTTATGTTTGTGTATATGGAGATGTGCATGCATGGATGCACTGTATGGGTGTGTGGTGTGTGTGTATAGACGTGTTCTATCTGCCTCTGTATGTGCACAGATGTGTGTTTGTGTGTGAAAGTGTTAAATATACGTGTGTGTTTGTGTAAGGGTGTTAAATATGTGTGTGTATAGATGTGTGTGCTATGGATGTGTGTACATAGAGGTTGTGTGCATAGCTGTGCTACATGCGTGTGTATGAATGTGTGGGGGGTGTGCATAGATGTGTTCTACCTGTGTGTGTGTGTATGGATGTGTTAAATGTGTGTACATGTGTGTGTGCATAGAGGGGTGTGCTTATAGATGTGCTATGTGTGTGTGTTAAATGGGGCACGTATGTGTCATGTGCACAAGTGTTACGTGTGTGCATGCGGCCTGTGTGTGTGTATATGTGCATTTCTGTGTGTACATGTGCTTATCTGTGTGCATGTGTGTATAAGTGTTACATGTGTGCATATGGACATGTGTGTGTGTGTATGTGCATACTTGTTACATACATTTGTATACAGTGCATATGTTCTGCCTGTGTGTGTTTCATATCCATTACATCTACACGTATGTTATACACGTGCACCAAAGCATTCTGCATGTGTTGTGCATGTGCAGTTTGGGTGTAAACCTGCATACGTGCTGTAAGCGTGTATGATGTGCACGTTACATGTGTGCAAATATAACTGCATGTGTGATGTGCATCTGTTACACCTTCCTGCATCCACGTGCACACAGATGTGCTTGCCACATGCCGTGCACAGCCGTGTCAGAGCTACGTTGTGTGCGTTACATGCGTGTGCACACATGCTAGCTGTGCATCGATGCCGTAACACACACAGAGCTGATCCCCTGCCCCCCACGCAGGGCTGGCTGGGAGCGCTGGCGCTGCTGAGCGCCGTGGTGCTGTGCTGCTGCCTGCGCCGTCCTGCCGTCCCCACGCATCACCACCCCCACGTGCGCTGCTATGGCACAGCAGAGCTGCGGGATGGAGAGGCCCCTGCACACCTCCTGGGCCGCAGCCTGCGCTGGGAGCAGCACGTGCCGGTGCAGTTGGTGCCCCAGATCGAGGCCGCCCAACGGCGACGGAGACGCAGAGAGCATTCCTGCCCCACGCTGCAGCTCCGTGCAGGGCTGCACAGTGAGCCCCACGAGAGATCCATCTCACCGTGGCGGTACCGGTGAGTGTGGGGGATGGAGAGGGATGGAGAGGGATGGAGAGGGATGGAGAGGGATGGGCACAGTGGGAGGGGTACAGTGGGATGAAGAAGGATGGGCACCGTGGGATGGAGAGGGATGGGCAGAGTGGGATACAGCAGAATGGATAGGGATGGGCACAGTGGGATGGATGCAGTGGGATGAAGAAGGATGAGCACCGTGGAATGGAGGGGGATGAACACATTGGGATGGAGAGGGCTGGATGCAATGGGATTGAGAGGGAGGGACACAGCAGGACGGAGAGAGATGGATGCAATGGGATGGAGAGGGATGGGCACAGGGGGACAGACAAAGTGGAATGGAGCAGAATGGACACAGCGGGATGAACACAGAGATGGAGAGAGATGAATAAGGATGAACACAGTAGGATGCAGCAGGATGGACAGGAACGAGCACTGGGGTGGAATGGGATGGAAATAATGGGTTGGATAGCAATGGGCACAGCGGTATGGAGTGGGATGGATGCAGAGAGGCAGAGCGGGTGGTATGCAGCAGGATGGAGCAGGATGGATAGGGATGGAGAGAATTAGACACAGTGGGATGGAGAAGGATGGAGAGGGATGGACACAGAGGGGCAGCTGCTCACCATCTTGCCCTTCTTGCAGCATCGACGAGGACGAGGACCGCTACCCCCGCAAGCTGGCCTTCGCCGAGTGCCTGTGCACCGGCTGCGTGGATGTGAAGACAGGGAGGGAGACGACGGCGCTCAACTCGGTGCTCATCCACCAGACCATGATGGTGCTGCGCCGCAAGCCCTGCCCGCGCCCCTCCAGCCCCGGCCTCATCACCTTCGAGGTGGATTACATCCGTGTGCCTGTGGGCTGCACCTGCGTCCTGCCCCGCACCGGGCGCTGAGCCCGCTCCCTCGGAGCACCCCCGACCCCGTGACCGTGTCACCCTCCTCGTGCTTGTTTTAGAGCACTCGTTCCTCCCACCCCATCCTCCTCCTCGACCCCATCACCATTTATTTATGAGTTATTTATGATGCCCGCTGGGGGATTTATTTTTGTAACCCCGTATTTATTGCTCACCCTCCCCTAAGCCTCCCCATAAGGCAGCAGCCCTGGGCTCAGCCTCAGCCTGTACCTGCAGCCCTCCCCGGGTGCTTCCCAGTTATTTATTCCCCCTCAGTGCTATTTATTGAGACCTCCGTGTGCTATTTAACGCCGGCAGCGTGCAGCCTGAAAATAAAAGCCTGACTCCCAATGTGCCACGCTGGGATAACTGGGAGGGCAAGGGGCAGAGGTGCACGGGTCCCCCCCATTGTGCCCCGTGGATGCTGGAGGGGAGGTGCCAAAGATGCAGGGATGAAGGCGCTTTGGGTAACCCCCAATGGATGCTGGGGGGCATCTGCCATCCCCAAAGCACACCCAGGAGAAGGGGGAGGCAATGGGGAGGAGGACAACCCCACACAAGCACCCCATCACCACCCACTCCTTTCCCACAGCTCTGCCCTGGGCACTCACATCCCATGGGCTCAGCGCCACCTACAGGGGTTGTCCCACGTATCTTCAGAGCACCCATGGGTGCTGGGGGGGGGAGAGAGGGGGTAAGGGGCTGGGTGTCACCTCTGGGGACCACGTGTCCTAAAGCCTTTCCCCACTCCAGGTTTGTCCCATCGGTGGGATCACTAAAGATTTGGGCATCGAGCTCCCACCTCGCATCCAGGGCACAGGGGGCAATGAATGCGGTGGGGTCAGGCTGGATCTGGGGCCTTTCAGTCCTTTTATTGTAAAAAGCAACCAGAGAAAAAAGAAAAGAAGAAAAAAAAAAAATGACAACATACAAAATGTGAAGAGGTGGTGCAGCGAGCAGAGCTGCGTGAACCCCAGCAGCACAGTGGGGCTGTGTGGCTGGCAGAGTCCCCTGGGATATGGGGCGGGCATCTCAACAGCCCCCAGGGATTCCAAAATCACCCAGGAGCTGGGGAGGAAGACCCCCCCCCCACCCCAGGGGTTTGGGGACCAGTGGGGGGGTGATGGGTGCAGCTGGGTAGTGAGTGCAGCAGCAGGGACCCCCTGCTCTGTGTTACTCAACCTCTACAGGGATGGGGTTCACCTGCCCCCCCACTTCGACCATCTGCTTCCTGCGTGCATCAGCAGGGGGTCGCGGTGGGGGGTTGCTGGGGGGCTGCTTGATGGTGTCCCCCATATGGGGCCGCTCCCGGGGCTTCTGCTCAATGGGTCGCCACTCCTCCCCACGCACAGCTGCCTGCAGGGCCGGGGGGGGATAGGGGGGGAAAGGGGCAGTCAATGGGGAAACCCTCTCCTTCAACCCCATCACCACCCCCTGCTCCCCCAGAGCAGCTCACCAGCAGGTAGATGCCACTGGCAATGCCCAGACAGACAGTGCCCAGGATGGTGGAAAGCAGGAAGCCAGCAGGGACGGCCAGCCTGAGAGCACAAGGGAAGGTGAAGGGGGTGGTTCAGGGTGTGCCCCCCATCCCCAACCCCACTCACGCTGCATGCAGGATGGCACGGATGTAGTAACTCCGGGTGAGGGGTCCAAACACCTTCAGCACTGCCGTCATGTACCTCTGGCCACTGTGGGGTAATATGCAGAGTCAGGGGGGGCACCCAGCCCTAAAGGACCCCCCGCCAACACGTAGGAACCCCAGTGCCACCCCATCACTCACCAGCGCTCCATGGTGGAGCCCTTCTGCCTCTTGCTGCGTGGGTACTCCAGCAGGCAGACGAAGGCACCTGCAGCACTGAGTTGGGGGGGGGGGGGGGGGAGTCAAGGAAAAGGGTGTTGGGAGCTAAGGGTAGGGGGTGAGATCCATAGGGAGTGGGGCAGAAATGTGGTCAAGGGTGGGGGTGAATTCTGTAGGGAAAGGGGCAGGAATGGAGCGATGTGGGGCCAAACAGTGGGAAGGAGATGTAGGACCCTCCCCCCCTCCCCGCCTGCACAGAGTCAGGTGCCCCCTCCCACCCCGAGTCCCATAAGGATACATGGCGTACGCAGCGAAGTACCAGCCCTTGAACTGCCCAGCCACCGCCACGACTCCTCCGGTCAGCATGACTGCGGGACAGCGGGGACATGGCTGCCACCCCCGGCACCTCCAACGAGTGGGGACATCGGGGGACGCTCGGCGGTGGGACCCTCAGGAGCCCGAGCAGGGAGCGGGGGGGTTTTAACTCCCGGTAGTGGCATGGCGGGGGGACAGCGTGGGAGACCCATGGTGACACGATGGGGACGATAGACTCGTCAGCTCTTCCGCGTCCTCGTTGCCGCTCACTTCCTCCATCCCCGGGGGGGGGGGGGGGGCCAGCCCGGGCGGGCGGGGGGGGCGAGGGGAGCGGCTCGGGGGGGACGCAGCCAGGGGTCGCTGCGTGGGGCGAGGGCTCGAACCCCTCTCCATATCCCATCTCCACAGCCCCGCATCCTCAACCCCGCCTCCCAACCCCTAAACCCCCTCCCCATATCCTCACCCCATCCCTGCATCCCCATCCCATATTCAGCCTTTCAACCCCCCTCCCCCTCATCACCCAGCCCTTTAACCCCGCACTCACTCAGCCCGGCCGCCAACGCCTGTTCGTTGGCCCACATAGCCCACTCGATCTGCCCCATGGCCCGGCTCCACTCGGCTCAACCCGACCCGGAAGGCAGCGGTGCAGCGGCGCAGCCGAACCCCTTCCCCTCCTTTGGCCACGCCCCCTTCTCGTAAACCACGCCCATAAATACGCTCCGGCCACGCCCACTAATTACAAACCACGCCCGTTAACCACAGGTCACGCCCACCGAACACAAACCACGCCCCCTTTCGCGCAGGCCACGCCTCCGCAGCGCAGCGCCGGGCCACGGCGGGACGCGGGGCGGTGCGGGGACACAGGATGACATGGGACAGGAACAGCCCTGATGGGGAACACAGAGCGACCCGGGTGGACCCCCGGTGGGACACAGGGCGTGCTGAGCTCCGGCAGGAGGCTGGCTGCAGGGGACAGCAGCACAGTGGACAGCAGGGGGAGGCAGGACAGCCCCCCGGCACCCTCACGGCACACAGAACCCACAAACCTCAGAGCAGAGCTGCGGCTGGAAAACCTCTGTTATTTGGTTACAAAAGAGTAAAAACCAGGCAATGGGAGGGGACACGTCTGGGCCAGGATGGGTACAGCTGAGCACAGCACCTCACAGCCCCAAAGCAGGCACTGGGACGGTGGCTCCCTGCCTGTGTGCCCCTCAAGGGCAGCCCCTGCTGGGCATCCCTGCTGTCCCCGGTGGTGTCCCCATCATAGTGTTCCCATCACAGAGTCCCCCATTCTCAGGCAGAGCGGCACGGCAGCCCATCAGGGCCCAGCAGGTGCTGGCTGGGGTCATCCAGGAGCTGTGGGCCAGGGCCAGGCTGTGGGGACAGGAGACGTGTTAGGGGACTGCAGGGAGCAGTAGGGTCGGAGCCCTGTCCCCCCCCATACCTTGGTGTGCAGGATGTAGCGAATGGCCCCTGGCACTGGATCCACCACCACGGCTGACACCAGCTCCTCTGGCAGCACCGCCGTGCCAACGGGCTGGCCTCGAAGGAACCTGCAGCAGGGATGGCACTTAGCTGTCCCCAACTCCATCCCATGTCCCCGTCCCATGGTTCCATCCCCATTCCCATCCCACCAGTCCCTATCCACATCTCCATCCCCATCCCTACAGTCCCCATCTCCCTCCCTGTCGCCATCCCCCCAGAGCCTACACCCATCTCCATACCCATTCCCACCCCACCTTTTCCCAACCCCAACCCCATTCCCATCCCACCGGTCCCAAATGACAACACCCTTACTGGTCCCCATTGGAGCTGGGTGGGAAGCTGCGCCTCACCACCTCCACGAACTCATCCACGGTGTCCTCCAGCATGAAGATGACTGCGTTGGGGCCAGCATCGAAGGTGTAGGCCACCTGGGGACGGGGACACAGTGAGAGGTGCACAGTGCCAGCGGGACGGGGCCGCGGGGGGGCTGCCCTACCTTGGTGCGCCCATGGTGGGTGTTGAAGCGGTGTGCCAGGGCGATGATGCGCTGCGAGATGTCGTTGAGGTAGAAGATGGGAGGGAAGGTGTCAAGGCAGGTGGCGTGGAATTGATTGCTGTCCTGCATGGTCAGCTGTCCAAAGGCCTCAAAGTCCCGATCCTGGATGCAGCGCGCCATGCGGGTCATGCGCTCCGGCACCACCACCTCAGCACGGTACTATGGGGAGAGCACCAGGGGGGGTCATCTCACAGATGCCATGGGATTTGCTTCCCCACAGCTCTCCCCCATCCTCTCCCCTCAGAATACCACAGCCCCATTGCACTCAACCATTGGAGGAGACTTCTAAGATCTATGCCCACTGACCGTGTCCCCATGTGCCACGTCTGTACAGTTCTGGGACACCCCCAGGGATGGGACTGCCCCACCTCCCCGGGCAGCCTGTGCTGGTCATCATCAAACATCCAACCCACCTTCAGCAGGGGGCTGGTGTCCACGCTGGTCTGCATCCCCGCTGTGCTGCCCACCGCCTTCTTCTCCCCGCTGACCTGCACGAGACCACAGGACGTGGGCATCCTACAAGGGCCAGCTCCCAGCCCCAACAGCAATTCCCATCCCTCACCACCAGCACGAGGACGCTCAGCTCCGGCCAGTGTGTCTCAGGTGCCAGCTGCTGTGCCACGCTGTCCCTGCCGTCCAGCCGCTCCCCGCGGTGCCACTGCACGAAGCCCCCCAGCATACTGCGGCACGCACTGCCCGACCCACGCCGTGCCACCTCCGACAGCTCACCCTCCACACCGTACAGCCGTGCCAGCGCTGACACTGCAGGGATAACACTGCTGTGCTCACGCTGTCCCCATCACCCCACCCTCCACCCCCCGCTGTCCCCCATACCCACCCAGGCAGGCATAACCAGCAGCTGAGGATGCCAACCCGGCAGCAGTGGGGAAGTTGTTCTCGGAGGCGACGTGCACTTTGTAGGAGAGGCTGAGTGGGGCTGCAGCATCGTCACCGCGTCTCTTGCGGGCCAAGCGCCTCACTGTGCCGGGATGGGGTTATAGGGAAGCACAGGACATGTGGCTCTGTGCCCCCACCCACCCCGGCACAGCTCACCTTCCCGCAGGCAGGCCTGCAGCCGGGGCTGCCCCGCGTCCACCTCCTCCCCATTCAGCCACAGGCGGTCCTCGGTGAAGTCACGG